ATAAATTCCTTTGTCTCGAAAACCTGATAAACTTAGAATCGACCTGAATCATTCGCACAAAAAGTAGATTAGTAATGTTAATGATATAAAATGTGGAAATCCATTCACAAACTAAATTTTAATGATGTATTAACGAAGGGATTTCTCCATTTTATATGATTAATTTTACTAATGTACTTTTTGTGTGAATGATCCATTGTAATATAAATCGAACTGCACCACATATTTGATACACATACACACACACAAACACACATATATACGCATATAAATATACATACACGTACATACACACACGCATATATATATATATATATATATATATATATATATAACACATTTAGTTAATTATCTATATTGTTAATCTATGTATGTTCATTTGTATATATCTCCCTCAACAACTTCTTATGTCTCTATCTGTCTATCTCTTGATCGCTTAATCCAACTTGAATTGCAATTAAAACGCAGATATAGACAACAGGTGAGGCGAGTGTATTCAAGATCATTTACTAAACTCGTAATTTCGTTTCTTTTTGCCTTACTTAGTAAATATAACATCTTCTCTGATACCAATTAATTGATTGATGAAGTTATTCCTTTATTTTTTCTCAACAACTACTGAATAATTACTGTTTGATCAACTCCTCTATTACCCCCCATATACAACGTGCTTCCTCTAGCATAACATTTAATTGCTTCATGCAGGTGCATTTTAGGAATTCACAAGTAGATTAATGCTGCCTTGAGAAGAAGCTGAATTCTATTAAGAGCCACAATCATTTCAAGGCCAAACGATTTTCTTCGTGTTTATGAAAAACGAACAAATTTTTAACATTCAAGCATTTGGCGTGTATTGTGGTAGGGTTTTTCTTTAACATATTAAAATTTGATTTATTTCTGAAATTCTACAATAAAATGTATGTTTCATAGATAAATAGAGAGTAGAAAAATCGACCATTTTCTTTGTAAATCGATTTCACCCCAATCAAGGCAGTAAAGCCGCTAAGAGACAATCGGTTTAAGGGGGGGAAATTAATATCAGAAGCATTAATAATGAGAGAGAAGTGAAAATAAAATGTATCCGGACATCAGACGGCTAATGGCATAGCATTTAAGTTCTTACAGATTAAAGTTGGCTAGAAAATGTCGCGATGGATGGAAGTTCCACAAGCAAGAAGTTCGAGAAAAAGAAAAATATTTGCATAGAGCTTACATCTACATCTAGCCAGCTCTTCTTTATATTAACCGTCCTACGTATGCCGATAGACATCTGCGTCCTGTGTAAGATGAGAAAATTCATCCAATCAGCAAGGCCTCTGATCAGGAGGTTTTGAAGAGCGAAGAAACACCTCTTAATTGCTGATGTTCCCATGTCCCACCTGAGCCGGTGTGGTAGCATCTGTTAGGGTCCCAGTTATGGGTAAATAGTTAACCCCCAAACTGGGGTCAAAACACTATGAAAATGTACAAATAGATTTTAATATCAGTAATTCTTTTATAAAAAAGATATTACCAGCAATAAATTTTTTGAAAAGAATATTACCAGTGAAGGAAAAATATTACCAGAAATAGATTTTTGAGGGAAAAAAATATTACCAAGAATGAAAATTTTGTCGGCATTAAATAACCCATTGAGGTTGATATGCCGTAAAACAAAACAAAACAAAACAAACCAATAAACCAATTCTTTGAATGGATGAGATCTTGATGACAGTTTCCTACTGCAATTAAACTTTAAAAATCTTGGAAACATAGTGAAGAACTTATCCTAAGGCAGTGGTAATGATACTGAAAGAGAGCCGCAACTCAGACCCAATAATAATATAGCTGATTCGTCTTTTTTTATCAAGGAAGTCAAGGTAAATAACCAGGTCACTGGACCAGGTATGGCAGCAATATTATAAGCATGGACGTGTAGTAAACTTATAGATATGTAAGATAGATTCTGGAGAGAAAACTTTTCTTTTACGACACAGTGAACCAACTTTCTTAGAAGCTTACCTATGAATGGTTTCAATATAGTCTTTCCATTTCATGTCAGCTGAGAATGTTAGCCCGAGAAGCAATAACAAGTCACTTTTCTGGAGGATAGCATCAGCCATATTGATGGAAGTTAGAGACTGCTCTCTACGCTGATTAATGGAAAGATGTTTAGCTTTGGCTACCTTTAGAATGAATAATTCTCTGTGCATTGTCTGTTCAGATGATTAATGATCATGGCTCTCCACAACTTCTTGTCAATTGCATCTCAATATATCTTGTCGTTTTGTTATCTCTCTGAAAACAGTATCCCGGCTTACGGTTACCTTAGCTGAAACATCGTTTCCAGTATAACACCGAAGTTAAGCAACGACGTGTAACTACGTGGGTGACCGCTTGGGAGGAACAGATTCTATAATCTTGGATATCCAGGTGGCATAATGGCTGCAATTACCCTTCGGAAAGCTATGCATTCACGTTTTCCCCCACTGCAATGTGTGAATAATGTATCCTTAAACTATTATTATCTCAAAAAAACTTAATAATGTATTCTGGCTTTAAATAACGTCGAAATGTTTGATACGCTGTAGAAAAAGAATAGACCAATATTGTGGATTTCAATAAGTTCCAAAGCTGTAGAAAAAAAATCTGTAGCGAGGAAAGCGGGGAATTATCTCATCAAACCAAGAGACAGCATGTCGCGTGTATTCTACGACGGAAAATGTGTCCAAAAAGAAATTTACTTACCGAGGAAAGGGGCACCTATTCTGCATGATATGCCGAAGAGGGAATGTCCAAATTGGAAACAAGTCAGTCTCAGGAGTCACCATAAATTGTACCTCGAATATGATAATATTGAGTGTACTTTCCCACTTGTCAAAGAATGAAAAAAATGGTCCTTCGATAAAAGTAGCTGTTTTTCTCAAATGGTGGAGGAAATACGTGTGTTTTGCTATCGCGTTCGTCGGCGAGTGTGGTAGTTTTCTGGCTAGTTACGTGCATTGTGATTTGTGACATAATACTTGCGAATCTGGGAATCTTCAGGTGGTGAAATGGTTAGCAAGCTAGTCTCGTTAGAACATTTACGACTGAATAGTGAGTCTGATCCTCACTGAGTAGCCCATACGTTCGGGCATGTGCCACATCTAAGCTACGCTTGCAAAAACACTAGTACCTGCGAATCGGGAATTAGGATTTTCTCTCTGACCCTGATATTCGAGGTTGAACCTGTGATTTGTTTTCTTCGTTATGGAAGTGATCTTTGACATCAATTTCTGAACTGGAATTTTATTCAAGCACAATGAAACCGACTACAATTTTGAGGCTTTCAATAACCTCCAAAGTTTGAAAAGCTGAAGAAATAGAATCTATAAATATTCCAGCTTTAATGGTCTAATTTAAATCCAATAGAAACCAGCGGATCTTTTCGTAAACAAAAAAACGTGTGATACTTTCGGACACATAATCAGTGAGATTTTTAGACGAAGTTCATTAAGGGTTTCCGGTTTTCAATATCATGACAACAACTTGGTGACCTACTCGATACTGATCGGTTACTGATGTGTGTGACATACGTTAGCTACAAAGCAATTTCAAACGAAAAAAATGGATTTTATTTTTTAATCAAAAGAAAATTTTTATTCACATAATATTCTGAAAATGATCTTGTCCAGCAATCTCCTTTACTTAGAAACAAATATTTATATTACCTAGATATTTTTATTACATCTAATATGATTTTTAGTAGATGTCAGTAGTTGTTAATGAAAATACGACCCCATCCACAGTAGGAGTGGAAATTGTTTTTATTTATGTGCCCTCTATTCCATTCCTTCTATGAGTGTACATTTTCTCCAATAAGTTTACTCACATTTGCAGAGCATTCGACGAAACGAAGAGTTTAAAATAAACGAAACGTCTACATATATACCGGTATTTAGCATCAATAAAGTTAGAATAAAACACACACACATACACACACACATATATATATATATATATATATATATATATATATATATATATCCATGTTAGATGAGTACGAATAGAGTACACTTCCAATGTTCGTACTATTTAATATAAAAGAAGGCTCTATAAGGTGTGTATGAATATATATATATATGTATGTGTGTGTGTGTGTGTGTGTGTATGTGTGTGTGTGCAGGCCTTGTGGCGTCTTGTCGTCGCGTTAGATCAAATAATTTAGTTTATATTCCTACCTAATCTTTAAGAAAATCAACACATTTTTCTTACACAGATTTCTTTAACTCTAACGCGAAAATACTAACCCTGACTCCACACGGGCGTAACGTGTCGGTAAAATTCCTTTTCATCTTTGTCCCATTATATATATATATATATATATATATATATATATATATATATATATATATATAAAAAACATTAAACATAAGCGCGTGTGTAAAACATTAAACATAAGCGCGTGTGTGTGTAAACCGATTGTCGTTAACTTACGACAAACAGCTCATGAATCGATCTAGTCGTAAGTCGTTCTGTAATTAAATTCGTCATGTTTACGTGAAACGCTATATGATACAATACTGTTGATTAAATATGTGCTAAACATACAAAGAAAATATGGGTATAGAAATAAAGAATACATTACACACAAATACATACAAACTGAAAACATCTTATATACCGCTGGTGCTTGGTTGTGTATCGTCGATGGCGTCTGCATTGCGCCTGGTAACCGTTTCAGTTTTTTTTTTTTTTTTTTAATTTATTTTTTTTCGCAAAGGTATTTGTCTGAATTGCTTATTTCTTTTTCTCCTTATTAATTTAATTTTTACTTCATCGGTTTGCTTAATACGTCTTAGCTAAATTTGGAAGGTTATTTAAAGCCAGAAAATATTTTTAAATCGTAAGAAATTTTAGAGATGATAATTAAACCATTTTTCATTTCACAGGTGAATATAATAAAGCAAACCAGAAATTAAAATTGGATTTCCGATTACCATTTCTGAACCGTTATCCAATGCACCACCCGCACATCCATATTACAGCACCTGATAATCCCAAGCCGTCACGCATCTAAATACTGATCAGGCCCGGCGTTGCTTAAATTCTGTGATCCTGCGAGAATCGGTGTTTTAATTAAATATTACTGTAATACAAATAGAGTGTGATGACTTCAAATCACGTGCGGTCGCATTCAATTTCTGTCATTCTTTTTACCGTGTAAGCAAGTTTTCTTTTCGAGATCTATAGCCTTTCATTACGTCTTGCTAGATTGAGAGACGGACAAAGACAATTTTCTCTGGCGCTGTCCGTGGACAATCCTGGAAAACACACGCGTTACCAGACGCCGAGTAATCGTGAATAAACGGACACACATACCAATTCGCGATAGAGGTCTTAAAACATGCAATGGCATACACGCGCTCATATATATACACACACACACACACACATATATATATATATATATATATATATATATATATATATATATATTAATATTCAAACGTTTCTATGTAGTATTGGGCGTTTATCATTATAATGAATATGTGTTGTGCATGAACCCCCGATCTGTGGTACTATTGAGATATATATATATATATATATATATATATATATATATATATATATATATAGAGAGAGAGAGAGAGAGAGAGAGAGATCCTACATATTATGCTGGTGTTTATAAAACAATGCTCAATATCATGTAACGGAGGTATATATTAATAAATATACATAACTAGCAATAGAGCCCGGCGTTGCCCGGGGATGTAACAGTAAGAGATAGATCAAGTATCGACCATCATAAAGACTGAAAAATAAAATTGACAAAGATTATTGTTTAAGGTTGACAGACACGCATATCTTAATTAGTTTTTTTTTGTTTTTGTTTTTTTACGAATTGGTCAAACCCAAAGTCAAACAAAAACATTATTTTCAATCGTTATGAGTCTACCGATTGAATAGAATTTTATTATAAACAATTGTCTTGTAAATGGAATTTTTAAAACATTCTGAATGTCAAAATAAAGAAAAAAGCGTGCAAGGCAATAAGAAACACTACTAAGTTTTGTTGAAATCGGTTGAAAAATGTCGGAAATCCGATCCCAAAACGATAAACGAACACACACACACACACACACACACACAAACAAACAAACAAACAACCTGGGTTTTATAATAAGTATAACTAGCGAGAGCGATGCTTCTTAATCGTGTTTTCAAATTGATTTCGTGCAAAAACAATTGTGTTTTTCCAATTTTTGGCGATGTCAGAACCACCGCAAGGTAATTTGACGTAGTCCTGTGAAGTTTTGTTGAAATCGGTTGAAAAATGTAGGAAATCCTATCCAATATATAAACGTACAGACACACACACAACCTGGGTTTTATAAGTATGATATTTCTGGCTGCTAACAGTTAAAAAATTAAAGAATTAAAAAATAAATAAATAAAAATATTAATTACAAATGAAACACATAAGAATAAAAATGTAAAAAAAATAAATATTTTTTTCTTATTTTTATTCATTTCTTAATTTTTAATTATTAATTTATTTTTTTTAATTAACTTTGCAATTCTTGAATTCTTATTTTTTTATACTAATTATGATTTATTTTTAATATAACACCATTAAATATAGATTCATGTTTTAATAAAAATAAGCATTCATTATGTATTTATAAAAAATAAATATGAATATTCTCAACTCAAACATATACTTTTAATTTTTTTTAAATATATTTATATCAATCCCGCTTATTGCCAAATATAATTTGAAAAAAATATGAATAATTCTAGCATATAAATTTAACTACGCCAACATCAGTCATAATCATGTATGTTGTCATTTAAAACTTTCTAACGGTCAGTTTATTCTGTACAGCTGTGTATTAAGCTCAAATTCGTGAAATTGGTGAGTGATAACATGTATGTTTATATATATATATATATATATATATAATTATTTATTTAAAAATATGATTCCAAATCGCTACATAAGAGGTCTCATGTTTCAAAACAAGAGCCGAAAACTTCAATATAATCCTTTAAATTAAATTGAGTTGAAATTAAAAAGGGCTCCGTTCCATCTTCAAGCGAAATTTTTGTTGGAATAACGTATATCTGAAATTTACTTGTTTTAAAATTTGAAATCAAAATCACCATGGTAACAGCTAGTGCGAATTGTCTAAAATGGGTAGGCGAGTGTAGGGTGTTAATTAAACGAAGATGTATACATCTTCGTTTCATTTTTGACACCCTCACCTTCCCCGACTTGACACCTTGAAAGTATCTCTATACCGCTACTCATCATTAACACCCTACACTCGCCTACCCATTTTAGACAATTCGCCCTAGCTGTTACCATGGTGATTTTGATTTCGAATTTAAAAAACAAGTAAATTTCAGATATACGTTATTCAACAAAAATTTCGCTTGAAGATGGAACGGAGCCCTTTTTTAATTTCAACTCAATTTAATTTAAAGGATTATATTGAAGTTTTCGGCTCTTGTTTTGAAACATGAGACCTCTTTATGTAGCGATTTGAATCATATTTTAAATAAATAATTATATTTATGTTCTTCTTTGTATCGAGCACTATTTTTAAAAATAATAACAAAAATACTAAGGAACTTTGGACTATTCACCTAACCAGTTCCTTCCTATTTTCTATATATTTTCATATATATATATATATATATATATATATATATATATATATATATATATATATATATATAAGAAATATCATGGAAGAAAATTAATTTTGCATAGGATATTATTTAGCAAAACGTATCTGTCGACCAGAGAATCATATAATTAATCGTATTTCAAGTATTAGTAAGAGAGTCGGTTGATTTCTCATTTGAATATTAATTAGCAACCTGCTAATTAGTTAAATGATCCATCGGGCAATATATTTACTAAGCTGATAATCCAATTGTAAATTAATTTGCAAAATTACAGATTAAATTTCAATTAAATTTAACCGTTCCTCGTGATAAGCATTATTATTTTTTTGATATATATATATATATATATATATATATATATATATATATATATATATATATATATATATATATATTATTGACCAAACCATCGATCATTCTTAAATGAGAAATATCCTGGACTTAAAAGCATAATCGTTTGCCACTATCGCTTATACATTGTTTCTAATGTATGAACTAGATATAATGTTTTTCTGTGCATATTTTGAAAGCGCAGCTTCTTTCTTTTCATCGTTAATTTTAAAGACATTTAACGCTAATTTAGACGCTTTTAAAAATGCGCGCTAATATGATTGATGTCACAAGAGAATCAAAAGATATTCTAGGAATTAAGTTACTTTAAACAGAACACACTTAATAGCATCGTACAAAAAATCAGTAGGTAAGGTTTTTCTTTGTTTTAATATGTATTCTCGTGACTATTTTATACAATATTTGTATTAACATATCAGTCTCAGGATCTCTATAAAATTTCCAAGAAAATGAAAGACCATAGGTATTCAGACCTTTCTTCATTTTCTTTTTATTCCATATGGAAAAGTCGATCGTTCTTGGCATGTCTCTGTCGTAGTCTCTTTTCAACCAATATTTAGCCGTTAAATATCGTCTATATGACTTTATCTTTTCTTTGATTCTCTTACCTTTGAAGAGTGTTTCCAACGTTAGGAATACATCAGAAGTTAATAAACGTATATTACATTTATATTGTCTTTATGGATGGGATTAACCAAAATTCTCCTGACATATTCTTTGTTTTCATATATTGGAAGATATTGCTTGAAGTTGGTGTTTTCTTATTTCAGATGTAAACTTGGATGATTACTAGTAAATTTCAGTGGCATTTTCGCTTTCTCAAATGATATTATTTTATAATTATAGTTAAGATCTTTAAAAAAACGAAGAGAAATTTAAACTGACAACTGGGGGTGTCGATTAAATTGTGACCATATTGCCTGAAATTCTTATATTTTTTCTTAATTTTAGATAAAACCTTGGATATTGTCCAACATGTTTACGTGAAATTTTCACTTCCTAGAATTTTATTTTTTATAACTATGGTTTAGGTATATGAAAATATAAAAGCAGACGTAAATTTCAACCGACATCATGGTGTATTGGTTAAACTGTTTATTTTGCTCAAAGTTCGAGTATTCCTAATTGCAGATGAAAAAGTGGATATTTTCCAAAGTGAGATCTTCATTTGTCCAAACTCATAGATTTAGTTATGAATGCGATATACGGCAAATGAAGGTACCAGTTAAAAGTGGAAGCAAGAGAAATTGGTTTAAAACGAACACTATGTTTTTTTTTTTTTAAATGTTGCGATTATTTTGCTTGGAGTTCGAATTTTCTTTTTTCTCACCATAACTCGGAAATGTTGCAGAACATCTGTGTGAAAGGTCACTTTTCCAAAAGTAAAATATAAATTTAAAATTTAATTCTCAGTAAAAAAAATTGCGACAACCTATACGAGAGATATGTTTACATGCGTCAATTAAGAATATATATTTAAATAATTTAGTAAAATGATTCGATATTTGTCTTCAGTTACATTAACTATAACCAGTTACGTAGAATTTATATTGGCATACTCATGTGTTTATAGGATTTATAACATTATCAAAACCATAAGTGAAAATAATGAAACTAATTGGAAGCATGATATACGACGCATTTCACCGATAACCTCTGTTGCTTTCGGCTCCTTCAGTCAAAAATAAAAAAATAAATCTTTGTAAGGAAAATGCTTTGAGCTCTTGGTGATGGTTGTGGTAAGGATCACATTATTAGGAATGAATTTGTTTGCGTGTTTAGTAGAAAGACTGTTGGGGGAGGGGTAATGAATTTAGTGTAATTTTTCTTAGAAGTGTTCCTGGTGGTGTCTCTTTCTTTTGGCTTTTGTAAGCTCATTCTTTAGCAGTCAGGACAAAATGATGTCAGAAGATATAATTAGGATGAAAGATAAACCCAATACCAATTTAAATACCAGTATTTATAAAATAAATTGTTTACAATCCAAAAACAGAGTATGAAAACTTTCAGATCACGTGCGATCACATTCACTTTTTTGTCACTTGGGTTGGGAAAGATAACCTCATCTAAAAGCCAGCATCTGCGAATA